GAGACATCCGGCGGAGGACGGAGGAAAGGGGAGAAGGGCGACTGCACGCTCATGTCGAGCGTTCGGGGCCTCCACGGCCGCGGAAAGGACCTTCTGATTAGGATCGACCGATCGGCACCGCGAGACGGGGGAGGGGGGCGAGGCGGAGGAGAGGGGAAGAGGGCGACTGCACGCTCATGTCGATCGCTCGGGGCCTCCACGGCCGCGGAAAAGGACCTGCCGGCGAGGATCGACTGCACGCTGATGCCGAGCGCTCGGGGCCTCCACGGCCGCGGCAAGGACCTGCCGGCTAGGGTCGACCAATCGGCGCCACGAGCCTGGGGGGAAGGGGGCGAGGCAGGAAAGGGGCCTGTCTGGCAAAAGCAGCGCGTCCACAGCTCACGAGCTCATCGCCAGCGCGGGTCCAGCACGGCCGCAGCGCGGCGATGCCCCTGAACTGCTTCCCGAACGGGTGACTCTAGATCGCGGCGCACAACGTGCTCGCCGCTCAAAAACGCCCTCTGGCGACGGAATCTGCAGCGTAGCCGGTAAGCCGCACCGACCCGCAGGGCCCCAGAGAGCACGAGAGCACGAGGCGGCGACGAGAAAAGGTCCCAAGCCTGTGCTCGCCGCGCGAGGGCCGTCGGAGTTGGCCTGGTCGACCAGGTCGTCGGACTTGGTCTGCAGGCGCTCCGCGGCGAGGGCGACGCGGGGCTCGTAGTCGGCAGCGACGGCAATGTCCATGATTTTGATGAAATCACCTCTGTCTGCGACCTCGGGTCCGTCAGGGGCACGGAGGAGGTCGCGACCGAGCGCGGCGGTCGCCGCGAGGAGCGCGGCCGCGCCAGACTCGCAGCGCCAGATGGAGCGAGCAGCGGCCCCCATAATGGTGAATCTCCCATGCTGCCCAGCGACTATGATTTTGAAGAAAGGCGCGCTGCTGAAGGTTCCGAGTGGGCCGAGCTGCTTCTTCGACGATGAACATGCGCTGTCGCCGGGCTCCAGTTGGCGCGAGGCCAGCCTCGGCGATGATATCAGCCAGGAGGTTGAAGCGGCGCTGAGATGTAGGGGCATGAAGAAATGATCGGGTCGACGGCCTGTGCGTCCACGCGGGCGGCGGTGACGTTGCTCGGCGACAGATGCGGGATAGCCCGATCACGATGCCCGCGATGCGAAAGGGCTGCGCCGTCCTCGCGGGCCCCCGGGCTGGAGTCGACGCAGAGAAGGTCGACGCCAGAGAGAGAGAGAGAGAGAGAGAGAGAAAGAAAGAAAGAAAGACAGAGAGAGAGAGAGAGAGAGAGAGAGAGAGAAAGAGAGAGAAAGAGAGAGAAAGAGAGAGAAAAATAGAGGGAGAGAGAGAGAGAGAGAGAGAGAGAGAGAGAGAGAGAGAGAGAGAGAGAGAGAACAAAAAAAAAAAGAAAGAAAAAAAGAAAGAAATAAATAAAGAAACAACAACGCATCCCCCCCACAAAAAATATGAAAAGACTGCCACACCCGCCCGCGCTGGCAAGCCGCGCGAAATCTCGGGGGGGATCGAAGAGCTGTCTCCATCGCGCTCGCGCTCGCTGGCATTGGTCGCCAGGCGCCGCAGGGCGCCGGCGGGCGGACGGGCCCTTGAAATTGACGGAGGGCGCGGCGCTGGCGTTAAAGTCGCCCATGGCCTGCAAGAGCGGGCCATCGGGATCGACCGCGGCCCCCGGCCTCGCGGCGCGCCGGGCCTCGGACGCGCGCGCCTTGTCTGCTGCCGTCAGATCACGGTCGCGAGCGCCCATGAGCGGCTACTCGAAGCCCGCGGCGCGGAGGGAGATGCGCGGCGTGGCCACGCGCCAGCGCGCAGTCGAATGACATGCAGCTGATGGGGCTGGGCAAGACGAAGCCGGCACAAAGAAAACTGCGTCTCCTTTGCCGCGCCGTTCAGGACAGCCATCGCAGCAGACTCGGCGCTGTAGGGGGGCCGCGGAGGGGCCGAGCTAAGTGGGGCCTTAGCTAAGTACGGCTCGAGGTAAAGTTGCGAATCGCGTGCTTCTTGAAGGGGGGTGGGCGGTCTTTCCTTTGAAAAAAGCGTAAGCTGTCGCATCTCGGCGCGCCAACTTCAGCCACGATGGCGATAAGTCCTCGCGCGCCCCAGCGAGCAAGCGGGCAGAGAGATCGGCAAGGGCGAAGACGACGCAGCCGCTCCCCCGCGCGCCTCTCCGGCGGCGAGGCGAGCGGGGGAGAGGGCGATCGAAATGCGGAGCCGCTGCTGGATGATGGCTGTCCGAAGTTGATTTGCCGGCACCCGGCGAAGTGGCCGAGGGCGAAGCAGAAGTCGAGGAGGAACCGTAAGCTCTGACACGCTGATCTTGTCCAGGGAGAAATAGAGCTGGCGCGGGGCGATGGGGGTCGTGAGGGGCCGCCAAAAAGGTGGCGCCCTCCGAACGCGCGGGCGCCCTTCGAGATGCGGCCCCGGCGATGGCGCCGCCCGCCCCGGGAGTGGCCGCCGCGGATATCCCGCGGGAAAAAATGACACCGCCCACCGAAGGCGCCACTGCGGAGCCACCCATGCAAATATCACCAATACCCGCCCGTTCGCTCGAGGCTCGGGGAGCTTGAAGGGGCGCTGCGAAGCAGGTTCACCTAGCCGCGGAATGGGGCTCGCACTGCCGTCTACCCAGGGCGCCGCGGCCGAGCCCCCCATGGAAATCTCGGGCCCTTGAGAGGCTCGAGCGGCACGCTGCGCAACTGGTTCGTCTTGCCGCGGAACCTGCCGGGGCCCCCGCGCTGGCGCGAGGCGGCGACGGGGGGGGGCGAAGCGCGGCTTTGTGCGAGCGAACGCCAACGCAGGGAAGGCGGGCGCGGTCGGCATCGGCGACGGCGGTGCGACATCGCGACCATCGCTTGCTAAATTCACCGCGCCGCGTCTTCAGCCCATTAAAGGACGGCGAGTTCGGCAGCAATGGTAGCTTTCTTGATCGGTACCTCGGCCAACGCATCCTGGCCCCAACGAGTGACCGTTGCGGCGCCCGCGTTTGAAAGCTCCAGCTTGGCCGCCAGGGGGGAAAAGGGGGGGCAGAAGGCGCGCCCTTGATCGCGACGCGCGCGCCAATATCCAACGGGGTGCTTGGGTTGATAGACCGTCCATGTCTTCATGGCCTGAGCCCAGTATCCGACGCGGCGAAGACCCTGGTCGGGGCCGACGTGGGGCGGCGCGCGTTCTCCTTGATTCGTAACGCAGTCTGGTGGGGTCGGAACCGCGAATCTGCGGCACCCTCCAAGCCCTGGGAGCTAAAGGGCGCGCGCATATGCTGCAGCCCGAGGTGCGGCGATACCGCGGCCCCCGGGATCCCGTTGAATGAAGCGACGGTTGGGTCCTTCCCCATGCATTCGGAAATTCTGTGCACACAAGCTTGCTCCCCAAGCCCACTCAGCAATGGAAATAAAATATTCGCTTCAACTGGCGCAGCGGGCTGCGCCCCGGAGAAAACGAAACTGGCGGGGCCTGGGTCGCGATCCCAGTCTGAATGCTTGGCCGCGTCCAGGGTGGGGGCGTCGGCGTCGGCGGATCGGTGGCGTCCCAGACTTCTTTGTGCTGAGCTTCCTATCACGCTTGGGTTTGTCTGGTGGCCGTGAGATCCTGTTTTGTCCATCAAGACGTCTGGTATTCGCGGCTTCGTGTCACTGAAGAGCGGGGCTGTTCCAACGCGTTGCCGACTGCGGTCTAGATGCGATCAGCTTACGATGGCATGGTGCGCTGCAGTTCGGGCTGGGTTTCGGTGTCGAGTGAGGACTGCGACTGTTGTGGAGGCTGTAACAACGGGGCACCTCCACATGGAGTCGCCGTGCCTTCAACATGCCCATGCAACGGTTCATCTGGAGGTCCTTCCACTGAAGCATGTACTGCGGCTGCTGAGCTGCGGTTCATGCACTAATGAGAAACTGTTGCTGAACTGCCCGAGCTGCTTGAGCGACAGGCCATTGGCGTGTTCCTGCGATGGGAAGGCGGCGGGCTCGTCCATTTGCTGAGGCTGGCGCTGTTGCCATTATGCTTGTTCAGCTGCGGTGCGGAATCTGGCTGGCTGGGCGGATCTATCGTTGCCGAGCGACCCAGGTGAGCGCCCAATGGGTCCTATATCGAGGCTGGTCGTCGGAACGTCTATCTTGACGGTGGTCTCGGTCACTGCCCCTGTCTCTGTCATGGCCTCGCTTGCGGTCTGAATCACGAGGGTGACGGTCTCTTCTGCTTCAGTGTCCGGTGGTATTAGTGCGACCTTGGGGCAAACCACGAGAAAAGTTGTTCCCTGTGTCTGTGTGGTCGCGGTCAGGTACACAACTCCACGAACTGCCTGTCCGATGCCAAAGGAGAGACAATCCAACCCGAATAGCTGCGATTGTATTAATTAGGTTAGAAAAGATGCGAATGTGAATATGGTCGCATTGATATGGAAGGCTATCGCAGGCTGGGCAGCCACGGCGGGCCTCCGCATATGGGAGGCCGCAGCTGAACGGCCAGCTGCTTTGATACATGTTTTACTTGGGCCACAAAGGCTTGAACTAGAATGGCTTGGTCACAAAGGCTTGAACCAGAAGGCTTGAACCATAATGGCTTGAGATGGAGGAGGAGGTAGACGGAGGAGGCAAAGGAGGAGGACTGGAGGAGTCAGGGTATCAGATTTGCTACATGCCAATCCCATGCAGTCATGTATTGCATAGGTGCGCGCATCATAACTCAACAGACTGTAATCATGCACCTCCGCAGAGGAGGAGGAAGAGGACGAGGAGGAGGACGACGACGAGGAGGACAAGGAAGAATGGGGGTGGAGTCGGAGGTAGAGGAAGAGGAGGGGGAGGATGCAGAGGGCCTCCTCCTGTGACCTTGAACCGCCGACAAATCCGCGGTAGCGAAACCGCACGTTCTGGGCGGGGCAGGCGATCCGGCGCCTATCTGCAATCAATGGGCGATTGGGGATCGCAGGGTTCCTTTCCCCCCTTCTAACAGTGCCCCTAACCCCACCCTTCTTAACCACATCTCTGGCAGCCCGGGCCTTCCAGCGCCGCGCTCGGAGCCTCAGCAGGCCCCGCCTCCTCGGGAGGAGGCCGTCGTCGCCGAGGCTGTCGCCGACGTCATCGTCGACGGGGAGAGACGAAGACTTAGGCTACAGTATGGAGCGCGGATTTACACGTCGTTAATTTCTGGTCGTGCTCATTTCCCATTGTGCTCATCTCTACTTGTTTCTGGCCACCTAGCGGCCAGGAGGCGGCCCAGGATAGAACCATTAAAAAATGAAAGGATCTTGGCCCCCCCCAAAAAAAACAAGAACTTTCGAATGATTAGGAAGGAACCATGTGTGAAGCTAGGGCTCCCAACTTCGCGCTTCGCGCTCCGCGAAGCGCGAAGCGCGAATAACTTCGCGCCCTCGCGCCGCCCCCCCAAAGGGAGAAAAGGAGGACGAGGAGGAGGGGGAGAAGGAACGAGGACCGCGAAGCGCGAAGCGCGAATAACTTCGCGCCCTCGTGGGAGCCCTTGGTGAAGAGGAACGGCGGGGCGTTCCTGGCCACGGCGAGCCCCGGCCTCGCACAGGACTCCCGGCCCAGATCTCGAGAACGGCCCGGACGCCAGAGCCCATCCAGAGCCCGAAAGGAATCGGGAGGGGAAAAACCACACACAGACACAATCCATCGTCGATTCCCAGGAAATGTTGGGAAAGTGTGGGAAGTGGGGGGGAAAAGACGAAAACCCAGAAAACATAGGAAAATATGGGACATCCTTTGGCTGTGTGTATTTGTTTGTGTGTCCCAGGGCCCCTTCAAGGAAAGCTACTTCGGCGTCTTGACTGTAGAAACACGCATGGACTTCGCGCGCGTTTAGGTTCTAGAGCCGGCCGTGGCGCTGCCACGGGCCATTTAAAGGAAGCAGCTCCTGGGACGTCGTCGCAACAACGGCCAACGGCTGTTAGGCCCGACGCAAGGGACACGGAACCTGACTAAGCTGCATTTGGCCCGGGATAAAGCAGGACTGATCTGGATTCAACCAAATTCAAATGGATTAAACAGAATTGCGTCTGTTTTTGACCACGGATATGCCAGCGCCGATGCTGAATCAAACCTCCCAGGAGTTGCATCGGAAGACGCTCAAGGAATACCGCGATCGCCACTGCGCTGGCACCCGCTTCTTCTGGCGCCCGCTTGCGCCCGCTGACCACGCCCCACGTCGGCCACTGCTTGCGTTGGCTTTGCTTGTCTCGGGTCATCCCCTCCAGCTCCCCGACTTTCCACGTCCTCCAACATTACCATGTCCCTCTGAGCTCTTCACAGCCTCCATCCTCTGTCGTCTGCCATCGCTTCTCGTCACACCGTACTCTCAGTTGCTTCCTCCAGCTACGCTTCGCGCTCACAGTTGAAGAAATCAGCCTCAGTTGGAGACTGACTCCTGCACTCGACTGTCCGGACTGCGTCTTGGAGCTGACTCACCAGGCTGGGACGGGAACCAACAGGGGATCACAGAACTCACATCCTGCAAACCACCGGCAAAATTCATTTGCATGTTGGAAGCCCGCCGCGGCACCGTTGCCAGCCCTCGGCTTCATCACCCAACGATGTCGCCGCCATTATGCGGCGACGTCCTCCTCATCCTCGCCACTCGTTCGTTTGCTGGTTCCGTCGTCGTCGTCGAAAACCGAAAACCGAGGAACGACTTGCCGAACGCGTACGGCCGCTAGTGAACACCAGTCGAAGTCCGAGAGATCACGACCGCGGTCGCATGCTTGGAGGATCAGGCCATTCGTGGGATCATGGGGCAGTCCCGCCAGCGTCCATGAGCTACTGGGAGCAGATGGCCCCGCGTCGGACTGCACGGAACCCTCCTTGCCTTAGGCCAGGCATGTTCCCCTACAGGCGGACTTTGGAAGAACAGTGGCAAATAGTCACACCTGTTAGACAATGGTCTACAATAGTCGAACAATCGCCCCCTCAATGTTTTTGACTATTCTTGAATACTCCTCCTTTAGAGGGACATGCCCGATTGAACCCTTAGGTACCCAAATAGCCTTCCCGCCGTGGGGGGGCGGGACCCCACGGCGGGGAGCCGAGCAGCAGCACCCGAGCAACCTTCACGATGGACATCGCCGCCAACGCCCGCGGCGTGGGCCGGCTGCTGCGCTTCACCCTCGACCTCGAAGATGCCGAAACCGTTTCCGCGGCGAGCGATGGGCGGGAAATGAAAAGGAGAAGGGTTTTTTCAGAAGGCGGGGGGGCTTCTCAGAAGCCCTCGCGCCTTCTGAAAAATTTCCCGCGTTTCGGGGAAGGCTTCGAAAACTTCTCAGAAGGCTGGGGGACTTCCGAGCCTTCTGGAAAGGCCTTCTCCTTTTCGCTTCCCCCCCTCGCCCGCGGCCGCGGAGATGCCGCACCCGCTGCTCGCCGACCCCCCGCCGACGCGCACCGGGGAAGACGAGGGAGAAGACGAAGAATCCGACCTTCCACGCTGCAGATCATGGCGGGGGGCAGCCTCGTCACCCCCCTCTGGACACTCGGCATGGGGTGCACGGCACCTGCTGCGCCGCCGCCGGCCACCGACACCCTGACCACTGGAGACGGCCGAGCTCGCTTCGGACTGCTGCAAAACGACCTGCGGCACAGGCTCCCCGAACGTGTGGGCCGCGGAGACCTCGACCCGCCGCGCCCGAGAGGCGGTGAGCCGGCGCCAGCGACTTCCGCAGCAAGGGCAGGAACGAGTCCGCCGGTGTCGGTGAAAGCGAGGCCGTGGTCAGGGCCTCCGCCGCGAATGCCTTCAAGGACGAACTCTGAGGGCGCCGTTGTGCGGGGCGCGGTCTCGGGAGGAGAGGGCGCACGGCACCACCGGCAGGCTGCACTTCTTTCGGGCTGCTCCTCGGATCGGGGCCGTGCAGAGACAGGAACGATGAGACGTACCAGCCCCTCAACTGGTCAAGTGGGCGACGATCTAAAAAACGGGGCGTGCGCAAGATGACACAATTAGCGACCTTGCGCGGTGGCTTCCGCTGGCCGCCGGCGCGGCACGCTGCATGTGAGACGAGGGCGCTCACGCGCGACCTTACCGCGGGGAGCTTGCGCGCGAATGTCGGCGAAGACGACCCCTTTTTCGTGCATCGCTCAGTTGGGGGTCCCAAAGCCGTGTGGTGGCAAACCGCGCGGGAACCCCAGAAACCCGAGAGACCTCACCGCGAGGTCCCGTCACCGCACGGCCGTGGGACCCCCACGAAGCCCCAGCCGCCCCACACGTCATCGGAGAACGACCCGGGAGAGTAAGACGGCGCGGTGAACACGAATCCCAACCGACACACCGCGCGGTGTGGTTACCGAACAGCTTGGGGCCTCCCGAGTAAATCTCGTAGCGGTCGCGCGGCACCTCCCAGAGAGGCGTGGCCCAGCTCGGCGCAGGGCGCCTCGGCGTTGGCCGGGGCATCGGCCAGCTGCCGCTGCAGCCGCCGGGTGGCCGCATCCGCTGCTGCAACACTGGCCGCTCGCCGCGCTGCGCCCGAGCGCCGCCCGAGGCCACAGGGACAGGTCTCCCTCCCACAGCGACAGCACACCGCGCGCAGCTCCAGCCAGCGCCGCCGCCATCGACCAGAATAGAGGGCAACACATCCACCCACAGAATAACCACCCCGACAGGCGAGGCCGTCTACGAAACGCCCCCACTGAAGGAACCGAACAAGGCAGGGCTGTTCAGAAAACGCCCGAGGCCGTTTCGTAAACGCCAGCTGTCTGGTCTCTCCTCCCTTGACAGAAACGGCTGTGGAGGAGGGCGAGGGGAACGGCACGAGCCCAAATCAGCGAGGGAAAGAAGCGGGCCTTACGCGAGAAGACATAGCGACCCTGTGCTTCTCCCTTGACGGAATTTGACGGAAACGGCTGTGGAGGAGGGCGAGGGGAACGGCACGAGCCCCAATCAGCGAGGGAAAGAGGCGGGCCCTACGCGAGAAGACACAGCGACCCCGTGCCGTGGCTCACGTGGGCCGCCAGCGGGGCGCGCTGCCCTGGAGGCGAGGGCGCACACGCGCGGCCTGACGCGGGCTGCTCACGCGACAACGTCCGTGCAAACGACTCCGTTGTTCTGCGTCGCTCAAACAACTTGAAGCAACATTGACTACCTACCAGACCACCCCAACCCAACCCGAAGACCCGAATTTCGGGTTGGGGGGGGTAAGGGCTCCACACATGTTTTTCGATGTTTCCCGACCCCCCCCCGACTGGAAATCGAGGGTAAATCTGAGCCTTCGGGTTGGGTTGGGGTGGTTTGGTGGGTGGTGAAACATGGCCTGGGCCATAACGGCTACAGGGAGGAGGAGCCGGGGGGGGGAAGAGGAGGGGGAAGAGGACGAGATCGGAGGACGACGGCGATGAAGAGGGCGGGGAGAGGAGGGTGAGGAGGTCTCAGTCGTCGCCGTCCTCTTCCCTGGGTCCCGGGGGCCCCCCCAAGCCTCCGAGGCGCTCCGGCAGGACAGACAGCCTCCGGAGCGTCGTCTTCTGTGCAGGTGCGAGATCACAACCTCCCCCGCTCTGAACCGCCCTCTCCTCCAGAAATCCTTTCAACTCCCTCCTCTCCAGAAGCGCCCCTCTCCCTGACTTCCCCTGAAAGCGGATGTTGCGAAAAAGATGTAACATCGCGAGAGATCATAACCAAAACCTTACAACTCGTCTTTCTGCTGCATTTCTCAAAGAATCGATCTGTGATGGCCCTGGGGGCCCGAAACCGGGCGAGAACGCCTGGAATCTCAAGGACCTCCCAGCGCGCTCAGAAGATCCTTCTTCGAACTTCCAGGATCTCAGCCCCAACGCCGTCTTTCCTCGGCGGCGCGCCGAATGGGGAAGTGAGACGGGGCAGGCCTTCTCGGGGCGGCAAGGCTTCTCGGAAGCCCTCCGGCCTTCGGAGAAGGCCACTGCGGCTTCGGACAAGGTCTAGAAAGCCTCTCAGGAAGCCGCAGGCCCTCTGAGCCTCCGGAAAGGGCCCGCCCCCTGTGGGCGCGGCGGGCTCCACGGGCTGCGGACCGCTGCTACCTCCTCCTCT